AGATCTGTTTATTTTTTCATGTTGTTGGAGTCATGGTTAATGCGCCAAAAATATTAAGATCCAGTCAGATGCTTCCCTGGCAGTATTGTGTCAAGTGGAGAAGAGTCTTAGTATCCACCGGTACCTAAACAAGCACAGGTGCACTGCAATGATTCAGTTACATTATTTGTTTAGAAATATTGATTTTTACTAATTAGTTTTTCCAAAATAGAGCTTCTGGAAAAATGACACTTGCTTGAATTCAGTAAGCATTTCTAATCTTTTGTGTTTCTCCATCATCGTGGTACTTTTATCTAGGCTGTATGGACTGAAAACAATAGATAAAACTGGAGGGTAGCTAATAGGTTCTGTTTTGTGAGCAAAGAGGAATTGCTCACAGATACAGATACAGTTAGTGCAGTTCCTGGGGTTGTGACGGGTTGCTGGTCCTTCATCAGTGTGTTGACTAAACTCAAGATGATGTTACTAAATTGAATACTTAGCAGTAGATTAAACTGAGTAAATTGATTTATCCTGCATTGATTTAGTTCAATAACCAGGTTTGACATTTTCTTTGTTCCTTTTTTTCCTATAAAGACACACAGGATGCTGGAAGTGGACGCAGACAAGGTCCTATGATGGTGAGTAAACATTTATCTCGAGCTCAAACGGTAATGTAGTTGAAATTATTCCTGAAGGCATTTTTGTCTTAGTACTGTGAATTATTAATGTCGTCTTGATTCTTAGCGGTTTCATATTCACTAGTTCACCAAATGTTCAGTTAATAAAAGAGTAATATTTGAAACTGAAACCTACGGGGTTTTCTTTTTCTTTTTTTTTTTGGACTGGGGTTGGGGCATGAATGACTTGAAACATACTGAGTGATGCAGCGATGTTGTGTGCTGGGACTTTATATATAAACACAGAGTGAGTGGTAATGATAGTTTTGGAAATGTAAAACCTTAAAACCCACTGTGAGCTGACTGCAACAAAGCAGCTATAAAGAAAAACTGTCTTTGCTTTCAGGTTTGTGTGTCAAAGTGTCAAAACTGCAGCAGCTGCTATTTTCCTTGCCTTGTCACTATCTCCATCTGCTGCTACTGTGAACTTTTTTAACAATAGGTGCTGCAGGTTATACTTAAAGTTAAGTTTGAAAACTGCTGATGCTCTACGACACTGGATCCTTTTATTCTTGCAGGGTCTGGGTTCGCTGGATGACGATGACCCCAACATTCTTCTGGCTATTCAGCTGTCACTCCAGGACTCAGGGATGGTCGGGAGTGTGTCCAGTCATGAAGTACTTGCCAACGAAGCCTCACTCGGCGCTATTGGCACCTCCCTGCCTTCGAGGCTTGAGCAAAGTGCTCCAGGCATCGAGGTCCCCCCCAGAGCTTCTCTAAGCAGCTCAGAACTGCTGGAGTTGGGAGATAACTTGGTGAAACTTGGCAACATCAGCAGCCAGTACTCTGCTGCCACCGGTGTTGCTATCCCTGTACAGCACGGTGACAGTCATCATCGGGCATACGGTGCTTCTGTGCCCATACCAGTGGCTCCTGGTTGCAGCAGCTCTTCAACAGGCCTCTTCTCTTCCACCGACACAACAGACTCAACCACATGTGGCAGCCACGACCCATCCTCATCCTCTGCATTAGCAGCAAACGCTAACCTGCTGGGCAATATCATGGCTTGGTTTCATGACATGAATCCTCAAGGTATCACTCTGGTACCCCCAACCTCCTGTGACAGCGACTCAGTCCCGGGTTCACTCCATAGGGGCGAAGGAGAAGACGATGACAATGTCGGGGTGGTCGTCTTCCCTGAAAACAGGAAGCCTCAGGAGGTGATGGCAGATGTGGGGTTCTGCTCTCAGAGGCTGAGTGAGATGGAGGAGAAGGAGTGCACTGTCGCTGAGAGACCGACCCAGTTAGATCTAGTGGGGCTGGACACCATGCCGCTACCTTACATGGGAGCCCATGACGCAAGCGGAGGCCATGCCGAGCGCAGAGGCTCAAAGGTGTGCCACGTCGACACTCCGCGATGTGACTCTGTGTCTGATCAGCTGCCAAGCACCAGCTCATCTGAGTGGGAAGATCAAGTGCACTTGGTATGATCTCTCTAACTGAGATGGCAAAGAGCTTTTAAGGAAGGCCAAAAACCACTACAGATTGCAAAATGAATAAAGAGGAGGAACGTCTGTGCTAGCTATTCAGGTGGAATGTAAACAGAGTGGGGAATGTGTCATACTTGACCAGAAAGTGGGGAAGACACAGATTCAGATTTAAGTGCAACAAGATGTGTTTACTGTATTGTCAGCCTTCTGCAAAGAAAGTACTAAATAGAAGAGATCACAGTTAGTTACCAGTTTCAAGGGTGACTTATAAAACAAGTCTTGTACTAGTAAAAATACAAATAAGTAGCGTTTTTTGTTTTTGTTTTTTAAATATCAGATTTAGAGACTTAGGAGCTTTAGAAACTTTAACCTACATAGTTATTTTCCACTGGACTAAAAGCCTACTGTATCAGTCTGGATCAGGTCTGATGTAATTCAGCTGTACTTAGTGAGCAGATTAACAGTTTGCTCCAATATTCAATCGAAACAAAGCCGGCTGAGATGGTTCTCGCTCCTGTCCAATTCTGCCTACTTCATGGGTGCCAAACACTGACTAGCAAAAGCACAGTTTGCAGTCACCAAGTGGATTCTCTAAAGCAAATTGTGCCTGCTTTTTACAATCTCAACCACTCAGCTAAACTTTAATGTGAAAGTGTTGAGCCATAATTTTCTTTGAGATTGCAGCTGATTGATACTCTGAAAATGTCACTGGCTAAAAGCTGCCGTGAGCCGTGTAGAACTGAGGCTTCAGGCCCTAATGGATTTGTACTTTATGTAAAATATTCACATTGGCAAAATTTTGATTAATTATTCAACTGAAAAGTAGTTGGCCTCCTCAAAAACATTTCAAAATGGACTTGACAGTGGTTATTACTCCCCAACACAGGCTGAATCAAAAAACAACGAATGCTGACGGGCCCAGAGGGAGTGCTCGTGATTCAGTTTGCACCTTTGTCACAGCATGTTCTGAATTCCATTGTAGCTTGTCTTAAATTAATGTTTTGAGTATTGCAGCCGAACGTGGAGCGCGACAGACTAAGTAGACAGTGAGAAGTCTGCTTCATACGCCGCAGGGAAGGCCATTGAAATCAGGCAGTCGTATTCAGACTCTGGTAAATTAATTACTCACGCCCAAGTCACTGTAATTTATCTCTGGGTCCTGTTTTAAAAGTAATAAGCAAAGCCTTTCAGATCTTTGCAGATTTTCCGGACTGCAGGGTAATGCATGGGGAGAAAAAAATTAAAAATCATGAATGTGTACAGCATCTCATCCTCATGGGAAGTCCATGTCTTTGAAACGGTTCTCTCTCTGGAGTTGAGACACACAGTGCCTTTGTGTAAATCACCATGATTCACTTTTTCCTTTTTTCACACTTTTTTTGAGTGCTAATTAAAAAAAAAATAAAAATGACAGTGTAAACAAAAACACCTGTTACCTTAAAGTCGTTTCTCTCACATTGCCGTTGATAGTGTTCAGACATGTGCTCATCAGAAATGTTTGTAGCAAGAGGCTTTTTTGTTGGCTCTTGTGGTGATATGTTAATAGATGACACTGACTCTTTTTTTCTTTTCTTTTTTTTAGCGATTTGGTGAAATACGTTGTAACGACGAAGTCACACTTTAAAGAAAAAATCTTATTCCCAGATATTTTGAAGAAAGGTTTTATTTCTCTGGGTTTGTGCAGTAAGACTTCTTGCCCTACACTGAAGTGGTTCCCGGGGTTTAGCATCTAAAAATCACTGCGCTGATTTCAGAATAGGTTAACCTACTGTTCTGTATCGCTTGTGTGTGAGGAAAGTTATAAAGTAGGTATTTATTTGGAATAAAGATAATTCATTTAAATAATGGATTGTGAGTAACCCATGTGAACTAAAACACACTAGTCAGTGTCTTACCTTTAAGACGTGATTATGTTCTTGTACAGACTGATGTCTGGCTGAAGTAAATGACCTTTTTCTCTCTCTCTCTGTCCCCTTGCAGATGTATAGAGCAACATTAAGTCTAAAGATAGTGATTGCTTTGATAAGTGTCTGGGTGCCATATGGTTAATGGAACTAACTTTGTCGGACTTGGTTAATGGAAGTGCTTTTATCAGAGGAGATAACATGCGTTGCCCTTTTTCTTTAGTAGTATGCTGTGCATGTAACGGGCACACTTTATACTGTCACCTCATATGTTCAGGTGATTTATTAAAAAAAAATTAAAAAAGGTATATAACATTTTGTAACTCATTGAGATTTTCTATTGTAAAGCAACTAATCCTTGAAATGCTATTTGCACTTTCATAGTTTATACTTGATACATTCCCTCTTTATATGAAAAGTGTTTGATGTGTGATGCCAATAAACTATGTGTTGAGTTTTACTTTGCGGTTGTCTCATTTGTAATAGTCATTTATGACAAAGAAATATTGCAGATGGTTTTATTTTCATAACACTGACCGATTCTTTTATTGGGTTTTCATTCAAAATTAAACACTTTTATATAATCTTTGATTTAACAAGTAGCTAAGTGACTAGTTTGTGAGTTAAAGAGTAATTTTTAGAAACAAATATTCAGTATATGTAGTTCTATGTAAATCTGAACTCCTAAAGGAAAAAAAATAAACAAGTAAACATCCATAAAGCAGACTGCAGTGCGTAACACATGACAATCATAGGCAAACTTGAATATACTGACAGATGTCTGGAGACGTATTCAATATGAATCATGGGCTCAGTTTCCCAGACATGGCTTAAGCCTAGACTTGGACCAAAAAAAGTTTTTCTGTGGAGATCTTCAGTGTTTTTGCTTTGGGGGGCTTAAGCCATGTCTGGGAGACTGGCTGTCTGTGTTTACCAAACTCAACGAATTGATTGCATGTGTGCAAGAAGAGTATCTTAAGGGGAAATCCTGCCATGGAGTTTAAGTGTCAGCGGCAGAGGCCGATGAGCTGCAGCAAGAAGAGGAACAGGGTGACGACGTCCAAATAGAGGTTGAGCGCAGCAAAGATGTACTCCTCGGGAGAGACTTGATACTTCCTGTGTTTTCCACCCAGGATCATCTGAGTGTCAAACACCAAGTACTGCGGAGAGATGGACAGAAAATGAGATCCCTCAGCACTGATCTGTGAATCGAGAACGCGAACTGGTCTGCGAGCAAGCGCAGGCACTATTAACTATTTCTGAGAGATGGGACGGTGCAGATAAACAGGCCACACAAATAATCCGGGAGTCAGACTTGTGCAGCTGAAAATAAGTTGTGACTTGCTGCTGACAGCCTGTTCAGCTCTGTGTGCAGCTGCAGTTTGTTCCACCGGCTGACGAGATGGGTCACAACATTTGCTGCGAATGCCAAAGGCACACAGAGAGGTGGCTGTGAAAAGGAAGCCCACTACTGTTAAGTGGTGCATAATTGAAATTAAAGGGCACAGGGGCATCAAAGTCGCTCTCTTTTCACTAACAACTGGTATCAGGCTGCTTCGCCCTGGGATCGCGTGTTGCATCATATACACTCACTTGACAATAAGCCCTCTTTGATGGTGGTTTCGTTTTATTTCCATTGGGGATTTTAATTCTGTTTTTCATAGCAAAAAGAAAAAAAGTGCTGCGGAAAAGAACTTTCTGTTACCAAAGTGTACTTACTAAAGAAAACAGCAGTGTTCCCAGGCAGGCATATACGATGTAAACATACTGCAAAAGAATCACACACACTCAGGAGAGGCATTCAGTAACACAAATTTAAAACAAAACATTTTTATTCTAGCGTGCTGTGCTGCTTGTTTGCTGTAGGCAGTAATTAAGCCAGAAACTTTTTTTTTTTGGTCATTCTGACTGTTTTGTTTGGTTTACAGGCAGTCAGAGTCCAACTACAACCTAAAATCTGCAGAATGCTTATTTATACCCGCTGGCAACACTAACAGCCGACGCAGTGAACGCCAGTGTACATTTAAATCCTAAGAGGTTTGAGTTTACGCTCTCTGCTGTATAGTCTGCCCAGCACACGGGCCTGTGCTTTCTAGGGCCAAAGACTCTGAGGCTGTACATCCGGTCTGTCAGCAATTCATTTAAAACCTGTTCCCACTGCAAACACACTGGTTAACAAAGAAGCTCTTTAATTTACCTGTGATCGGAGGATTGCACAGAGGAGGGCGAATGAAAAGAGGGTCCAGATAAGCACCCACAGGCACCCACTTGCTGTGGTGAAGTCCCACTGATGCCGCAAAGGAGGGATAGGAAATGAGAAAGACAGTTAATGTGACAAGCCCCAACATCTCTCATTTGTACTCATCATTCTCGTAAAATCCAGGACACTGAAGGCTGTTCTCATTGCAGCTGTGCTCTGTGATAGCTACAGATTGCAGTCGAGACTCAAGAAAATCAAGACAGTTCTGGTTATAACAAGTGAGGATAAATAATCAACAGGCACTGAGCAGGGGGAATGAAGGTGGCCTTTTCGCCTGCATCCCCTTTATTTATTTTTTCCACACTGGCATAAAAAAAAAAGATGGCAGTTGCTACAGGAGAATCACTAGCACTGATCACCTGAGGAGCTATGGGCTGCAGACGCAGTGTCAATGCATCACAGTGACAGAGATTAAAAAGCTCTGTGAACATTGTGAACTGCAGAGCAAGAGGTGCTGGAAATGGCAAGATGAAAGCGAAGTCATAAAAAATAAACTACAAGTGTTTGCGGACGCTCACTCAGCCCATAAAACTATATTACGGGCTTAGGGGTACGCTTCCCTCTATATGTCAGCTATTTAAACCTGACCTGCGTACCTTCCTCCCGCTGATTAATAACGAGCAGAGAGAATTAAGCACCAGATATATTCTTAGTATGATTATCAGACAGCTGCTTGCTTGTTCCATCCACTGTGAGCGAAAATATAAATGTCTCCAGCTCCTTCAGATACAATAAGTGGCAAAGTGTGTGAAATGCCAACCACCATTTAGCAGCAATTAAAAGAGGCTCTAAATGCAATCTGAATGTGGCTGACATCTTCCCCACTGGCTGTGTGATTGCTTTTGTTCAGAACATGAGGCGTTTATTGAAGAAACATGCCGAGCTATCAATGAAGTGATTCTCAAAAGGTCTCCTAACTTGCTCCAGCTAATAAAACGCTGCAAGTTGTAATGAAACTTTTAAATGCCATGTGCACAAGCATAAGCTATTATATATATTTTGAGAGCGGCATCTCAGAAGAAGATGAGCACGATCAAATAAAGAATAAAAAATCCTCAGCGAGCGAGACTTATTTGGGATTCGTTGGGATGCTTATTACAGAATTTTAGGTGAAGTTTTCGGTCATTTTTTTAGGGTTTCAATCACAAAGTTGAGAAGTTTTGCTTGATAAAAAGCTTTTTTTTTCACAATTCATGAAAGGAGGCAGACTGAAAAGGACGAGGGCTGACTTATATAAAGAATTCTATATGGCGAGAGTTATCTCAGCCACATGGGGGCTTAACCCTCTGGATGCAGGGAATTAACCCAACTTACAAATACACTGATCTCAGCAGCAATCTTAGTTTTGCCAGGACAGCAAACTCATCTGACTTTGAAAGCTCTGCAGGTGAAAACCTGTCCAGCAGCTGAGCTTTACACGTTCCCTCTGACTGCACAGGAAACACAGCTGAGTGTATGGACATTTACCAGTGACTGTATAGTTAAGGCGCCGTGTTTCACTTTTGGCTGCAGTGCAAACTGAGCTCAGAGTGTGTGACAGATCTTACCTTTGACTGCATGGCGAACAGGCTCAGGGAAAGGGACACAAATGCTGTTGCCCCAACAGCCCACATGACTGCTTCAGCATCAAAATACCTGCAGACAGAAATATCAAACAGTGCAGTAAGAGCTGAATCATGTCTATCTTGGGGTGGATGAGTAGCGGGGTTTGGTCTATCCTAAAGGGAAGTATTATTTTCTTATAAGAATTTTTTTTTCTCGAAATATGCATTTAACTTTGAGCACTGGACCCCCCCCCCAACCCCACCCCACTGGACAAGTATTGAATAATGCATTGCCTGCATGCATTTCCTATCAGCTATAGCTTCAGTTATAGCAATATCCTATAAATATGGTAATTTTAATGCATTATTGATAGTCAGGTCTCATCTGATGCCTTTTTCTGACAGAGTGACGTGCTGCTAAAAAAGAACCGTCAGAAAGATGGAGGGGGAAAAAGGGTAACTCGTGTTTACACAGGCACCGAGAAATACAGAGAAATTGGTTTTGAACTATTTGTGATGTGCTCAGATTTATCTTCAGCTGAAAAAAAATCAGAGAATGTGATCCCATGTGCCTTTTAATTTGGTAAACCAGCGCTGATAACATCTTATCTGGCATGATGGCTTCATTGCTGGCATCGAACACGCTATCAGATATGGATCAAATAGGATTATTATTGTGCAAATGAGTCTGCATCAGGTGGGGACTCATCTTTGTAAACAAACACTCACGCCGCCACAGATGCAAGCATCAGGCCCTCTGCAACAGTCTGAGGAAGACAGGGAGAAAGGCACACAGGCAGGGAGAGGGAGGGAGAGAGGGGAAGGGAAGGGGGAGACAAATGGAAAGTAAATACATGACAAAAAAAAAACTGTGAAATAGAGCAGGTGTGGTGGTGGTTTAATTTGATGCCTGGCTGGTACTGCCTCTACTCACAAACAGGCCCAGGGCAATAAAATTGAGGGGGACTCGACGCCGGAGACTGTCACAGCATGACAGGGCCACAATGAGGACGAGTACCACCGCCCTGTTTCACACACGACACAGAGTTTACCGGCATTAGCATATAATAGGAGAAACATTATGGATTCACTGAGCGCATTATTTATATTAAGATGAGCTTGTGATTTACTTCCGTGGACTCACATGAAGCCCTTTCTCCAAACACGAAATCCAGAAAATCTAAGAGAACGTTTTTGAACAACTTACATCATGGTGTAGGTGAACCAGTAGTTGTTCCATGCCCATTTCCTAAGTGTGTCCCTGTTTTGGTGGTGGTGGGGTGGATGGGGTGGGGGGGGTGATAAGAAAAGGGAAGGGAGAAAGAGAGAAGTGTTTAATAGAGCTGCCATTTATCTGATAGAAGCAGTGGAATGATTTTATTAAATATTAACAGAGAGCAGTGCATTGTGCACATGGGAGCTGAATACAATTTATGAAAAGAAATGACTGTTGCAGTCTTCCACCACATCCATTATACCAAACACAGGGAGCTTTCAAACTACTGCAAGCACAAACATTAGGCGGACTATATACCACCTTGTTTCACCTCACTATGGTGATTTGAGAAGGGCCCCAGTGCATGTTTAAATTTGTGCAGGGACGACTTTATGCACTTGTTCTGCCTCGTGTTGGTGGGCGATGACACAATTAAAAGCCAGCAGATTACAATAAAGGACATTTCTTCTTTTCTCTTTGGAACAAGAATGGCCTCGTGTGATTGTGTCTCACCAGTAAAGAAAAGCGCAGATGATCCCCACAGTCACTAGCAGCTGAATCATCAAGGTCAAGTAGACTTTCCTTATAAAACCTGTTCAGAAAAAAAGAAAAACAGATGCAGAAACACAGAGAGGTGAGACAGACAGGAGAAAGACATGCGACAACAACAATCTGTCAGAGTGAAGCATTGAGGCAGGTAAGGCTGCACGCTGTTGCCAAAAATGACTGTTTTCACCAAACTTGCATTCCTGCCTCTCATTAAAAATGATTTGTGTTGTGTGGGAGGTGAAGAGCTGCGACAGGCTGCGAGCAGAGATCACAGAACAATTTTCAATTCCAAATCAATTTTCAAGAAAACACTGCAAAGCAAATGAGGGGAGTAAATATTGCTGATCCTCGTTCGGCTCTGACCACGCAAACAGAAACGCTCATTTCTCTCGCCTCCTGTTTCTCCCTCTCTTTATTGATCTACTTCCTTCGACCCTCACCTCTCCGTATGGCAGCGTCACTGAAGGCGCTATCCTCTAAGCCGGGAGAGTAGACGGGTGGAGATTGGTCACATTGCTGGTTGTCTCCACCTGCTCCCAGGCCCACAGGATGGACCATGTTATCATAGGTTCCAGGAGGGGAGACCACTGCAACGCTGCCCTTCTCCACCTGGATCATTCAGACAACACCCGAAGTTTAGATTCAAAACTTTTTTCTTGCAAATCATAAAAAAGGCAGAATGATGTGATTAGAGGCTTTAGTGTTCATTTTGAAGTAACTTCATGGAATTAAACCAATAATCCATGTGTAATTAAATGTGTAAGCACACATTTAATTACACATCCCAACGATAGCATGATCAAAGGCTAGTTGTGTGTTGGATTTGGGCTCATTCTTTACGATAGCGGCATATTAAACCCTAAAATCAATGTGCAAAATGGTTTCTCTCACTGCTTAATTTAAATTTTTTTCCCTTTGAGGCTAACAAAAATGATGTGAATTGCTACTAACGTCATAGCTCATCCCAGTATACGAACTCTGTCCATGGTCCCCGGGGCTGTACGGAGGGGGCTGAGGATATCCTCCGTTTCTGTTGTCATAAGTGTGGTCCATTTGCCCAAAAGTCAGCAAATTTTATCAGACACAAAACTGCCAAGATAAAGAGAATTATTAGACATACAAGGTAGTTAAGGTCACAAAGACATTCCTCTGGACAGTGTCAGTGCTTTCATCAGTGATGTTAAATTGGCACACGGGGCAATGTCAAATGGGTGATTATGAAACCATGCATCACACAAATACAAGGCCCTCCATGACTGGCATCCATAAAAATGGCCCTAAAACTTAATCTATTTTCAGTGTATGTATATTTAATGGCCAAATAGATTGCATTTAATTGATCTCAGAGGAAATTTAGTTGTCATCCACAGACAGACAATAAATGCAAGGATTTTTTAAAATGTATATATGTATAGTGAACACAAGGGAATAATAAATCCCCCCCAAGTTCCCTAGTTCTGCATTAATCATGAAAGAAATGAAGTCATAACCAGCTGCTCAAAGATCAATGCTGCATGATGTACAACTGCAGTAAAGCAGTGACTACACATAGCAGTTTGACAGAAACAGCCGCTCCCTGTGCACATCCGTCTATTCATTATGGTTTAATGAATAACAATTTCCACTTCCTGTAATATCTGTAATTAGTAATGGCTTTTGCACTCGTGGCAGCAATAAATCATTTGCTAGATAAAAATCACATTTTGACTTTTCGTCTTTTTCAGCTCATCTCTCCAAACTGGAACAAAACAAAGCCTAAAACTGTGTTTTCTAAGGCACGAAGTGGACTTTGTTTTTGTTGGCTTACGCGGGCTGAAAGTTTGGAACATTAAATCCAAGTTCTGACAAGATGACAACAGTTTTAAAGTCTATAAAAAAGTGTCCAGCTGCTGTTTGACTCAGGTCTGTTCACAGAAATCAATTCGTACAACTCCAGCGAAGCTATTAAAATATGCCTTACCTCTGCTGTGACGACTGAGACCACGCTCGGCTGCTCTTCCTGTAGCTTCAGTTTCCTTCAGGGCAAAGTCTACTTGCTATCAGCTGGTTCCCACAGAAACAGGACTTTTGCTGCAGGGGAAAAGGATGTATTCCTCATTAGTCCTAATGGGATATTAAGATGAAGTTCTGAAAGTGACATTAAAGCAATAAGGCTGGCACTTTGACAGAGTAAATTGGGATTTTACCTTCTGTGTTCCACCTGCACTGATCCACACTGGAATGAGTTTATACTGCTTGATTTCACATATTTAATAAAGGTTTTCCCTCATATTTCAGTATCCTGGAATGATAAGCTGCTGCATATGAAAAGCCTGTAACATTTCAACCTGTATCACACAAACAAGGCAAATGCAGGACAATGACACAGTGTGAGATCCGGCGAGGCGTATGGTCTTTCTGGTTTACCTTGGTTACTCATTGATAGCACCCTGCACACACAAACCATCCAGTGACAAAGAGAGGACTGGACGATGTAGGACATCAATCCAGCCTATACAAAGGGATTATGGGTACTGAGTCACACTGAGAAAGAAGAGCTAAAGGCATACTGTGTGAAAATACAGAAAGCAATGTAGGTCAATACCATTTTTATGCTTTCCCATGAAGAACTGGCTCTCAAAGAGTTATATTTAACACCATCTATTAATCAGAAAGCAATCCAGGATGAGTCCATTTTTATATATACATGTATGTGCATGTGTATGTATGAAAAAACAACAACAAAACAGTAAAATATAATTTCCACTACTTAGCCTCGATTGGAATTGATTACAGCTAATTACTGTATTGATGTGATATTTAAAGCGATCACATACATGATGATCATAATTCAAATCTTAAAGAAAGCAAAAACTATTTTGCAGTCCTGTAGCTTTATTTGGATTTTAAACACAATTACCTAACATAACTGTGTAATTAAAGGTGTGTCTCTGAGTGACTATAGTTGTGTATACATAAAAAACAAAGCAAGAGCAAAATACACAGAATTCGATGCGAGTTTTTTCTTTTTCTCTTTTTAAGCCAGATAGTCTCCCCCTGATGTACAGAAATTATTTATACATTAAGCAAACACTGGGGGGCACTAGTCTCCCGTGCTTCTGCTAATTGCAGTGATTTGGATGTGACTCTCCTCCTCTCCTCCCCCGCCCCGAAAACCCTTCTCACTCTGCCGCCTCACCCACCCAACCAGCAACATGAAATCCTCCAGAGAGCTTCCTTAAACCGGCTGCCTCTTCATTTTAACAACTCAGATCAAATCCTTCATTTCTTTCACCTACATGTGATCTTTCTGTTCCCTATTACTAAAATAAAAGAAAACATTGTCCTTCCTGTGCAGCGACAAATAAAGAATAACATAAAAAAGGAACAAAATAAATCATGTCTGAAGGCAAAGGGACTTTTTTTCCCCCCCAAGCAAACACAAACTCTCGCTCTGTTCTCCACTGATTGGTGTGTCAGTCAACACAGACTAGGTTTACACTGCCTGCTCAAATCTGATGAGCTTGTTCTCACCTATTCATCAGATCTCGGTCGGATTTGAATGGGCGACACAACAAACACAGTCACATTTGAGCAGGCAGTTGAAATCCAGCCTGTGTTGACACACCAATCAGTGTGGAGCCCAGTGTGAGGCCACATTTAACACAGATCTGACTGCCTCAGCGCTGTCCAAACACAAGCAACACATGAGGCGGGAGCCACATGGATCAGAATGTGTGCAGAGCAGAGAGCTGTATCCAGATCGTGATATGCAGAATGGAAGAAGAAATCTATCAATCTAAACATCCATTCATCCTTTAAGACAGAAAAATAGAAAAAACTTTTTTTTTAAAATGGAAAGAATAGAAAACAAAAGAAGAAAAGGCAGGCAGGAAGCGAGACATAACTTTGAGTCTGTCCTCTGTCTCGATGCAGACAGATTGTGACAGCTCTGTTTTGTAAGACTGCTACGATGCTCTTTGGGGCTTTAGGGGCCGAGGACCACAGAGAGGAGTGTTCTGGTGTCACTGGAGAAGGGGAGATGTAGCCATCATGTGAGTCTCTCTTTCTTCCGTGCGCAGCGGTGAAATACTACTTCTCGGCCGCTCTGGCCACAGATGGATTTATTTGGAGAATTGAAATTGTGGTTTGTGGTGCCTCAGAGAGCCCCGGCACGGGTCGCAGGGTCTGAACCACTAGATGCCTCTTCATTTCTAATTTACAACCCTTCTGAAGCTGCTAATGTAGACTTTCAGCAGAATGTATGGCTGATGGGAGAGTTGTGCAGCGGCTCACGCTGCACAGTGGGAATGCATGTGTTACTCTAAATTATGAGACGCCCTGCACTGTGCTACACTTAATAATATGAGCTAGTCTGGCTGTGCCTAGTAAGAAATATTATTTCAATGAAATGCACAATTCTGACAGCGTTTTGACTTATTATCAGGGCCAAATCAGCATTGCATTGAGTTTTAGAATGACTTACATTATCTTGTTAAGCAAATGAGTGTAATACAAAAGGCACAGCTGCAGTCAAACTAACTCAATGGACATAATTAAGTGAATAAATGACTGTTATCCACAGTTGATTTAATATATTACAGTACTGTAGCAGAGAGCACAATTCCACATGAATTTATCCTTATTAGAGTCAGAGTTTACATTAGCTGTGCCTACAATGAGCACTCCATTACTGAATTATAAATAATCTTCAGGAAGTCTATCAAAACATATTCAATGAGAAACTTCACTTTTTAGGTGTCGTCAGCGGTTGTGCCGACATACCCAACTTACATTCGCTGCAATAGTCCGCGAGAAGTCACTTTCATCTGTCCTAATTTGTCGTGAACATAAACATATTAAAGGGCTGCTAGACTATCTAATGCAGGGTTTTTGCTAATGCCCTTTATTGTCTGCTACTTGCTGCCAAAAAGTTAACGCTAAATAAATTGGCTAAAAGAGCTGAAGCTGGATGGCTGATTCAACTTTGTAACAAATGATCAGATGAAATAATTGGATAAGGTGAAAAGAACTCTCACTTAAACCTCTATTACTGCCTTTGGGATTTTACTTTAAAAACCCCATTTCTAAATGACTAAATTGGGTTAGACAGATTGAAATGTGTGTAAATCCATTTCAGACAGGAGCCTTCATCCATTTATCTGAGAACGAGACAGGTCCTGGCTTCCAAAACGCCTCAAGAGCAGTCAACCAATCAGAAATATAGCTATAAACAGTTTCAGAACTAATCAGCCATTTAGAATGACCTGCGTGCCAAATCTGTTAGGACTCACCAAGTGACACTAATGGCAAAAACTCCACTAACTGAAATATTAATTAGATATTTCCAGTGATAACTAATGTGAACAAGATGAAAAAGAAAGTTTTAATAGAAACTAAACTAGAAAAACTAAGTGCACCCCAATGATTCAGTAGCATGTAGATCCACCTTTAGCGGGAATAGCTCAACGTAATCTTGTGTGTATGACTTCATTAGTCTCCCACTAAAGAGCAAAGAGCAAACTGATAAACTTGTAAAGAGGTGGTTACACTCGCTGATGATAAATTAATCAAGTACATTTGATTATAGCAGCACCTGGCTGCTCCTTTCCCTCTTAATTCCTATTGAAGCAATAAGGGTGCACTTGGTTTTCCACAAGACTGCAAAGAGCGAAAACTTTCTTTTTCACACGACTGTGTTATTCCCAAAGTTTTGTATATGTTGTGCATCAGCGTGTATCAACACTGTGAAGTGCCAGTCAAGTCTGTGCATACAGCTCAAACTGCTAATTACTAATGTCTGTCAGCTGTATGAGTGGCCAGCTTGTTATGGAGAGGAGCGCTCTCCGTGAAAGACACAAAAATGACTGATTCTGCTCACTGCAGCCTCTCAGACAAATAAATATAAATGGAAGGTGATACCTCCAATCACTGTTTTTCGAACTTCGAGAGAATACACATCGGTGATTTGTTTTATGCAGTTCTGGTGTCAAAAATGTGGTCTTTGGAGAGGGCTCTCGTTTTCTTTTGTCTGAAAATACCAATCAATTTCTCAGTGGGACTGTGGAGCAGTT